GTGGAGGTGTGGAAATATTGAGCTGTTGGCCAGAGTGATCAGCCAAAAACTATTTATGTGTGTTCTTTCGTGCCATACTTCTTGTTCCCCAAATGTGAAAAATTAGCACTTCACAGTTCCTTTTTCAGAATGCTGGAAAAGCTAATAATGATTTGGTTTTACACAGAGCTGTTCCCACAATCACTTTACACTGTGGTTTATATTGTCATTTCATTGTTCATTCTCTCCTCAGTCACACCTTGGTTTTAGACATAGCATCACCTTCTATGATCTCTCTGATCACCACATAACATGCAGCCACATAACATTTTTTGTAAACAGAGATAAGGATCTTAAGAAGGGTCCACATGCCCAAGCCCTTGAACAATAGCTACTGATATTTCAGTAGCTAATGGATATCTTAATAAACTAAACTAAACTAAACATGGTAAATAAGTATGTTTGCATGTGTAAACCAGAACACTGGGGGTAAGGGAGATTTATATTGCCAGTTTTACCACCAACCCCAAAGCTAGTTGTTTGACGTCTGCTAGTGTGTTCTTGTCCAGAGAGTCTTTTATAAATGAGTATATAAGAGAAATATAAGAGGATTCATGATTGCTTGTTTGGAAGGCTTTGAGCTCTCTTACGCATGACTTGTAATATGTTGTAGTATGGTTATTGATTGCATAAAACCTGACATTCAGTATTTCTGGAATAGTTTAATGCACATATTTTCTGATAATTTAACATTGTGTGCTGTATGTTATTGTTTGTATTATGGTGCAAGTTTCCCTTGATGTAAATAATTCCTGCAAAGTCACGGTTCCTTACCTACTGATGAGGAGTCTTCATGGTCTGAGCTCAGGTACCCATCACTCCTTCTGTCCGGTGTGCTGCATCCAGAGCCCCGCGATGGTCTCCGCTGGATGAGAGGGAAGGACGGGGACAGCCTGCCATCGTCCCCCGAGTCCAAGTCCCTGCTGTGGCGTTGGGGCCGTCTGGCGTCCCTCTGCGCGCTTGAAGTCCTCTGGTTGTCCCGGTACAAATTCTTTGGCGCTAACAAGTTATTCCTGACGAAATTCTCATTGAGCTCTGCATCTTCGTATTCCCGGTCACTGATGTCTTCGTTGTCATTGACCAGAACCGTGGCAGGCTTCTGGAAGCTGCTGATCCGCGGAGGCACGGGGATAGGGACAGGCTTACCTGTCTTACCGCTGAACCTGGGTCTCTCCCGGGAGAAGGAGCTGGCCAACAGCGCAGGCACCACTCCTCCGTGGACTTTTACGCCCACAGGCTCGGGCAGTCTGGTTGAATCCACCTCAGCGTCCCTCACGTTTGATTTTCTGATCTCTTTCTCTTTTAAGAAGGAAAATTTATCTGCGTTAAAGTTTTCATCCTTTCCTTCAAATCTTTCCGCGTCGTCTCTTTTCTGCCGAGCCATGGTGGTCTGCAGGTAGATCATCTTGAATTTCTCCTCTGCCAGAGACTTCTGGAGCCTCTTCAGATTGGCTTTGCATGTCTCCAGCTCAGACTCAATGTCATCCACCGACTTCAGGTCCATTAGGGGAACTTCCCCGTCGGGAAACTCATTTTTCCAGTGTTTAGCGAATTCCTCCTGTTCCCACATTGCGCCGCCAGTAGCACTCGATGAGGAAAAAATAAACTGTTTTATTCACACTGACAGCTGGTGGTGTGTGTGTCTTAAAGATCCAGTTTCTTCCCCCTGCCTCTAGTCAAAAGAATCACCTTATCAGCCGTAACTTGACCAGTCTATGCTCATCTCCACCTCCTACACGCACAAATGGCAGAATCTGAGCGCTGCGTGAGATGCGGATTGCAAGTTGCACTCTGCTGAAAACTTTCGAGACTTCCTGTATTGAGATGTGATGCTTTCAAGTACAGCCGGACAAACTCATACAGAGAATGTACAACATGAGACGTTAAGGAAAGACTGACCTTCAGGTTCACTGAAATCACAAATATACAACATGTCTACTTGCTCATACGTGACAATCCTCGTCTTAACACAAAATTATTTTAAACGAAGAAAGTGAAAGCAACAGTTTCCGTGCAGACCGAGCAAACAGATTGGTGGTTTAGTAGAGATCACCTTCTTAATAAACCATATGCTAAAAACAGTGTAAATAGTCTGTGCCACTGCCAACTAATTATTCTTGACAAAAATGAATGAATAGTTTTTCACCTAAGTGCAAGTCTAAGACTAGGCTATTTATGTGGCTATTACCAAGAGAGAAGGAAGATGATATCAACACATATAAAAGCCATTATGAAACATGATTCAGGGAAAGCAGGGCAGAGCTTGTGTTATGGGTATGCTCTTCTAATATACGAGTATGTTTCAGATGTTAAGAGGAGGAACAATATACCATTTTTAATATAATTTCAGATGATTTCATTTTGTATATCTAAATTCTATAAGAAAAACACTGAAATACATTACAACACTCTTTCCACCAATTTTACCATCCAGGAAAAAGTAATTAATTGAAACCAGTACAATCATCCACACCCCACATTGTGCTCGTTGAAGTCCCTATAAAACTGTGTTACAGGTGGATACACTTGCACATCATGTTCACTTTGCAGCAGCCGAGATAAAGGGATGCCATGTAATGTTATACGTAGAGGTGAAAGTTGGTACAAAGAGGGAAGGGGAGTAGCACTGAGATATGTCCTGGTGTCCATTTGGATTTGCGCCAAGAAAAGTGGGAGATCATTCTCCTAAAAGCTCAGAGCCGTGGACAGGAACCATTGATCAGCTCTGCGCGCCTGATTGGGTTACCGTAATGATAGACCAAAGCATGTTGTAATGTAAGTGAAGATGGTTAACCATAAGGGTGACATAATACTGTAGAAATAGTGGTGTGCATTGAAAGTAATTACACATTTGTTATTGTTAATGAGTACATGATTTGGGGTACTTATACTTTTTTTTTTAAGTGTCGGGATAGGCAAGAAGGAAGTAGAATAGAAAGAATAGAATCTAATTATGATCTTCTAAATTACAATCATGTTTATATGGAGATCATGTTATGTACCGCTGTCGGTATCGCGCCAGGCCAGTTTTTTCTGTTGATGACTGTTGTACTTTACCATGAAATATCTAAAACATAAATGCACCGACATTAAACCTGATCATTTCTAGTACTGGCTAGACCTTCTCATATTACATTTTTTAAAAATGCATTTTGAGAGTATTAATTTCAGTTCCCAACTGTGATAAATATTATTCAGACAAATGTAAACCTTTTAAATGTGTTGGTGTCAAAGAAGAACTTGAGACATGAGTTCTAGTGCTTGTAAAGCCTCCTTCTCTTCGTCTTAGTGGTCCATTCATTACAAGTGCAGATGCATTGTACCTCCTCGACTCCTTCAATGTAAGGGATATTCTGGTGGAACTTCTACTTCCACCTCCAGATCTTTGTGAAGGTAACATTTGGAGTGCAGGCTTTTTCTGATGGGCTCCTCAAAATTAGCCTCAAGCACATCATGCCGAGACTGTGGTGGAACTTTTCTTTTTAAAAATGGTTCCTCTTATAGCAAAGAACTGTTGGCTCCTGTCCTGTCACTGAAGGATTGGTCTGATTAACTGTCAGGGTCAGTGTCAGGGGTTGGATAATTTCACCAGGCTTCTTTCTTGTTTCTGCCCTTTCTTCCTATCTTTTTTGGGTAATGAGACCCTCAGGTACCACTTTGTTGAGTTTAGGCCCGATATTGGACTCAACGTTAACCATCATTATTCTGGGCAGGGGCTCTGATGTGATTGGCTGATGGGACTCTGACTCTGGTTGATTCCCTCCAGTCTTTGCTAGGACCTCACGGAGGACTGACTTGTTGGTCACATGGGCAAGTGTCACCTAAGTTACAGTTTCCATGTGTCTGGGATTATGCCTCACATTCTGGCTCTACTTCATATATTGTCTCTATAGCCTCTGGCACAAATTAATTGGCATGTTTCTTGTTTCTACCTTTGTCTTTTTCTTTCTCTCCTTTTTGGCAGATGTAGGGGAAACTGTTTGAGTCATTTGTTCAGATTTGGTAGTTTGAGAGTTGGGGTCCAAAACTTCAGCCTCTAGTGCATCAGCTGAGAGTTCTGGTGGTTCTGTACCCACTGCTCTCTCCATTGGTTGTTCTTGGGCTCTACGTCCTCACTGAGAGAAGAGATCAGTTGCATTGTTGTTGACATGATGGTTTTAATCAAGTGAAATGTTTCACACAGAACATGATTAGTTTATATGACCAGTTAGTTTTTATGACCAGTTTATAGTACATGTTGTCAGTGGACTGTCAGAAAGTGATGAGTTAGAAGTGTGCAATGCAGAACACAACAGTTCTATTGGAATTCTGGAATCACTGTATCATATAATACAGTACGTATAATTCTACGCTACACAAATTGCACCAAAAATATATAACGTCCCTCATAAATGACTATTATATGGATTTCAGATTTAAAGACACAGCCTAAAAATGTTAATGAAATCATTAAAATGAAAAGAGCAGCATTGGGATACAGACTGGTATCAGTATTGGCAATTGCTAGCATTTAAAAATATCTTTAGTTTAGTTTGTTTTTAATTTTTTTATTTATCCCATTGTATTACAGTGTATTAGACCAATTATTTTGTTGCATTTTTTGTCAGCTTTAACAGTATGGCTTAATTAAGCACACATTTTCAGTACTCTTTCTGTCAATAAGCTTAATAAAACTGTACAGAAAACCTAAAATTGTGCACCACTCTCTTTCACTTTATAAAGAAGTTTAAATATTTAACTCTGGACAGATACATGAATTATGATACTTAGTTTGTGCTGTAGTACTTTGTTGTACTGTTTCTGATTTGTTTGTTTCCTCTTGCTGTATTTATGAAGATGAACTGGTGTTAAGATGATGCTCTGACAAAGGAATAAAGGGTAAAGGCATAATAAGCTTAAGCTTCAGTCTGCACCTTTTCGGTCTGTGTATGTTAAATATGACTGTCTGTGAATTAATGTCAAAATATACCTGTGACCGAAATAAATAATCAAATGTAATACAAGTAGAATGAGCTACATGGGTATTAATGTGTCCTATGTGACAAATATCCTTATAATATCCAGTTACTTGTACAGGCTATGTAATGTTTTATGTATGTTTCAGGTACAGGAGGGGTCCAGTGACAGACATTTCAGGAGGAGAGGATAAATTAGATTGTGCTCCTGGTCAAAATGACTGCAGCAGGTCCGGAAGTCAAACATGTTGTGAATACAAGATACCCTAACTACTATGTATCCTTTTGCATTATGGATGTGGTCCGTAGATCATGATGTGATCAGCAAAAGTCAGTGTAGCTCAGACAAAAAACTGACAAGGGATCGTCACATATTTGATTAAGAAATATGTGACGATCCCTAAACAAAAAATCTCCATGTGCCAACTAAGGCTAAAATGTGTGCATTAGGGATTATAGGATTATAAACATATGAATTAAGGCTTATTTAGGCAGTTTAATGTTTTTTGTACATTTTTCAACAGCAAATATTGTTTCTAATAAAAAAGACTACTAAAGAAGCATCTCATTGATGTATGGTACCAGTTAGAGAGGCATATACATATATTTCCATATTTTGGTAGCCAAAAATATACCATCTGAGTGGTCCAGTTAAACAGGTTACACTTCGCAGTTCATCTAGAATTAATTTATCTAGACGTGGAGTTTTGCGATAAGTTTATGTTTGCTGCCATCTAGTGTCTGTGGTGGAAAGTACAACAACAACACAAGCGCACGTTATGCTGTCTTTTATTGATTGTGTATTTTTACAAGATTTGTAAGTCATGTATGACGGAATGGATTATAAAAAGGAAGCGAATGACTCTAAAAGCACATGGAGGTACAATAGTTTAACAAACATACAAAGAATACACATTTTCAATGATACCCTTGTTATGGACACACAAGTATATAAAACACATAGTATATCACTATTATAAAACATTATTTAAGCTTCATCACACAAGACATATGCCATTTCTTATCAAAATATTTTATCAACACTAATTGTGCAAATCTTCACATAAATCTCTTATATAAGGCAACAAGAGGACAGCACCAAAGACTACGCCACCAGTGGACTTACAGGTAGGAAGTATCAAGGCCACACCACACCCACACTTCCAGGGACAAACCACTGGGATCAAAACATATCAGGTAATGTTCCACTATAACCTTCCTGAGTTGGTAACATACAGTGTAATGTACAGTGTAAATGCTGCAAAGGTGAGTTACTATGGCAGGTATATTTCAAATAATATGTACCGTGACATTACAGTAGTCTTCACAGTGGCTCTATAAGCAAAACTCAACACATATTTTTTGCATAGTTAATTCATATTAAGTACTGTGTAAAGGTTTTAGTGAGGTGTAAAAAGGTCCTTTAATGAGTAACCATCTGTATTTCTTGGCAAAGCTTCTAGACCACTTTAAACAGGTTGGAGTGTTATATATGGCAGCCCATGTGCCATTGGTAGCACCTATACCACATCTTCTTTTCTCTTTTGTCTATTATGTTTATCTTAAAATTAAAGGTGCACTATGTAACTTTTTGGTTCAGAGTCCGTCACCTGCTTGTTTCTATGGATATGTCATTGCTCTGCCTGGAATGTTCCACAGTATGACATTAAACAGCTCTAATGGTGGTTTTATAGCTCAAAAATACCTAAAAAAAAAAAAAAAGAAGAAGAAAGAAACAGGAATTCTGACTGAGGGGGGTTGCTTCACCATAGATCTAACCTGTAACTTGGATTGGTCTCCATGAAAAAAGATAGGTTTAATGCCATAATGTGAAACATTCCAGACAAAGTAATAACATCTCCACAGAGAAAAGCATTTGACAGACCCTCCACCAGAAAAGTTACGTAATGCACCTTTAATTTTTATAAATTATCTTATAAACTTAATAATTGAATTGGACCTTTCTAAAACTTTTGCACAGCACTGTTCATTTCACAGTAAATGTATACAAATCAGTGTTTCTATGGATGTTGTGGCTATCATTACAAGTGATTTCAAAGTGCAAAAGTACCTATATATAGTTATAATGTTAGCTAACCTTTTGTGATTCCAGTTAGCAGTATAGAGTTTAAATATATTTACGACTTTTTGACAGCACTAGCAACCAGTGTTTCTCTCTTTGTGGTGACGAAAGCTTGTTGTTTTTCATAATAGGCAGCTTCATTGATAAAAGTGGGGTAGACTGTCCCAGGACCTTGGTAGTGGATTGTCTTCCCATCAAATGTCTGGAACATGGGGTCACCAGGATTCAGTGGCTCCCAGTCACAATCCTGAAAACAACCATAAAGAGAAAAACTAGGTTACACAAGTGAAACATAATTCAGGCTGCTAATCAAAGGGCTTTCAGGGTGCAGTCATAATTATTCTGTTTTGGTCCTAGTCAAAACCCAGTTAAGCCCTAATATAGACCTGGTTTTGGTCCTGTTCTGTGTTTGAGTTTATCTTTAATAACAGTGAATGAATAATCTTATGTACTTACCTGGAGGTTAGGGTGCACCATGGCAATGATGTTTCCATTGGCATCTCTGGGATAGTCAACCCTCTCCAAAACCCGAAAGACCTCTACAGTGCATGGGGGAAACTCTACACCTGCATAATGCACAACACCAAATATATGTAAAACGGATCTCTGGTTCATAAATGTTCAAAGACAGACAGAGGCCATCTTTTCACATCTCTCAGTAAGGTGAAGGTTACTCACAAGAAAGCTATTATAAGTCCAGAATGATAGTGCATACTGTATGAGTCAAGCAATCAAACAACTATATTTATCCCAGAGAAGCTAATTAAATACACTGAGTATGCTTTGTGCAGCAGTTAAGAGGAGGATGGGTCAGTAGAAAGAGTCAGGTTGTACAATAAGCTATAACAAATTGTACTGTATCTTATTTACTTGAATTAAACCTTTCTAAGGCTTTTGCACAGTATTGTTCATTATACCCTGATGGTATGCAAATCAGTGTTTATTTTAATGTAGTAATTTCAAAATGCTAAAGTATCTATATATAGTGATCCTGCTAACTACTTCTCATTATGCCAGTTAGCACAGTAGACATGTATGCATAATATCATTATGCACAATGCATAATCTATTACCAATGCATAAGGCATTGCATAATGCTTGTTTATGTACTTGGTCTGTTTCAACTTGGAAATGTAGAGAACAAGAAGTCAAGTTGGCAGAGAACATTGAGTAATTTGAAGTTTAAAGGAACTGTATTCAGCACCATCTCTCAGGGTTTTATTAGTATTCAAGATGCATACAAACTGAAACACCACTTTTTGTGGACACCATAGAGATGGTCAGTTTGATCTCTAAAAAACAAATAAATTGTTCTTGTCAGCTTGAAAGAGCGATTCATCACTTTGCCTGCACCAGTGTGGCCCCATGCACGTCACAACATTACCACACCATTGGCACAACAAGCAGTCCATTGAACACAGGGACATGGTGAAAGGCAGTCTGCCCTCCTCACTTGGCACAGGCTGTCTGCTTACGTAACGAGGAAGCCTGAGCCTCACGCCTTTATAAGCTGATTGTGGTGCACGCTGCGGGTCAGGCAAAGATGATAATGAATTTAGAGAGCTACAGCTGCTACAGCACAACTGGATGAATCAGTGCTAGAAGCTATATGTATGTGTGAAAGTGACTGATGGGAAAGGGACAGATTAGCTCTTTAATTAATAGTACTGGCTCAGGATGGTACTTTGGACAATATATTACAAATATATCAGTAATGCCATATCAATAAGAATGCAAAATTAACTGAGTCTTAATATACAAAACAGGTGCTTCAAATCACAATGTGGAAAACATTACTTCAGCACTTGGTAAAGCCTTCTTGATATTGGTGGCTCTAAACTAGAATATGAATGTGATGAATATGAGAATACGATGATTGATCATTATCTGCCTGCTAATGTTGTGGTAAAGGAACATCTGTAAATGCTGAACCATGACATTTTATTAGTGACTACAAGACACTTCAACTCATCACATTAATACAAAAATGAACAGTATTACCCACTATTTATATTAATCATATAGAATGTTGAATATGATGTCAAGATGTCTGAAACCGAACACTGACCATTTAACTTGATCAATGAACTTAACTTATAAAACCCTGAACTGGTGATAGTTTGGGAACAGGATGTATCATAGATTGATAATAAGTAATATATGGTATTTTCTTTTAGTAAAGCTGTACATTTTTTTTAAAAAAAATAAATCTCTTGATATACTAGTACATATTTAAACTCAGTACTAACACAAGAACAAAGGATGGTGTTGTTGTGCCCCATATGCAAGAGCCCGTTTCACAAGTCTGTTTAACCAGTTATGTTAAAAACAGGAAATCTTACCTTCATTAAACAGCTCAATGAAGTCCAATGCATGCTTTATGATCACTCTCATAGAATCAAAGATGTTACTTCTGAGAACCCCTTGAGGTTGTGGGCCTACTTCTAGACCTGCAATGGTAATATGAACAAGATCAGATACATTTCATTTGATTTATAAGATATCCACAGGTTCAAAACTTACCAACAGGGTGCTTAGCCACAGAGCGTGAAGTGGAATATTTTAAAAGAGGATGTTCATTGAGAAGGACTAGACAACTGGCTGGTGCAAGCGCTTTCTGCAAGGTCAAACACAAACCAAACAACATGATGCATAAATAGGAAAAACAGAAGGTCACAGAGTGCTTTCAATTCTTCTGGGTTGAATGCACTAACACAAATGTACATTTTGAATCTTATGCAACAAACATGGCAACACCTTACATAATATTTGCTGTTGGCATGAATCTACTTTAAGTTAATGCTTTGTTGAACATGCTGCACAATCTTCATCCCAATGTAAATTGTACATTGCCATGGTAAGAATAATGTTCTGGATTAAGTTACCCTCTTTGTTTAAATCAGTTTTGGAACAAATGTTAATTGTTTAATGCATGAATTAATGTAAAAAACAACCCTTTTCTGAAGTTTTTTTTTTTTTTTTTTTTTTTTTTGCAATCTAATCTAATCTAAACTAAAATAAAGACAAAGATACAGAATGCACCACTGATCAGTATTTGAATCAATATACCAGTCTATTAATTTTGTGTGATCCTGATGGATTTATAACACCGAGCTAAAAGATCTGTTTCAAATCTATATTCATATTACTTACATGACAGAAGTACTTCATCTACATTTTGTCACATGTAGATTATGGTTATTTTCTGGAAAGTTGTCTTATAGGAAAACTCCCAATACCAATATATTATGTGCCAGTACATCATGTTACCAGAGTTGAACTCATAATTCTGTTAATTGATTGCCTTTCTGCCTGTGTTCATAGCTGCTGAGTTGTCTCTTATTCTAACCTTGATATAGTTCATCATCTGGAGATTGAAGTGGTCTTTGGAGCTCTCCAGGATCAGGGTGCAGCCCATGTTGGAAGTGGTGTTGTGGAGGTCAAAGATTACATCATAGGCATCTGGACTTCCCTTGGGGCCAAACATTTTGTTGATTTCTTGGGCTCTACATACTTCATAGGGGAGAGACTCTCCACCAGGGGCACTAGAATTACATATAGAAGGGAAGTGAGTAAAAACAAAGGCCTGAAAGATTAACCAAACATGTCAATTATTATGCAGAATGTGAAAATTCAACCTTTGAACACCAAGACTGTGTAGCAGTTTAACTATATGTGTCAACTGCCAAAAACAAGAGCTATCCATGAATGTGCCCAATCTGGGACATTCTCCAAACTACAGGGCACCAGCCTCTGTCCGGCCCATATTGTCTCCAGAGCAGTCCTCTTTGGACCCCATTTTGAGCCTTTCCACTATTGTTTGTAGCACTGTGCACTAAACATGTAGGCCTATGTTGTGTGTTTGAGTGTGTGTTTGTCGTTTGATAAAGTGTTCTTCAACACTTCAAGTAAATGTGCCTATTTTGGTCCAAAGCGTGTGCAGCTTTTAGAGAGGGTTGTCAAAGACTAATCTTCTTACATGCAGTTAAGAGTGCGCGAAGGTCAGCAGGGGTCAGCTGAACTGCCAACTAATATTTGTGCAAGGTCAAGTTGTTTTAAGAATTATCAACTAACGAGTCATATAAATCCTTGTAACTCAATGAAACCCTAACCCAAAGTAATGTGCCTATTAGCAGTTGTAATCTGTGCTAAACAGAAAACAAATCCAGAAGATGATTTACTGTTATTGTGATAAAGATTCAAATAATTTGTCATTTACAAATTGCAGTACAATCTGAGAATAAAGATTTTGTGCAAGTGTACATTTATAACTGGCCTACTAAATATGTGGGAACTCTTAAATTGAGAACTCTATTGTCTAATAGGCCAAGTAAAGCAGTCACAGTGCCCAACATAGGTAAATCACCCCACAGACATATTACAATTTACAGCCGTCTGTGGCAGTCTTCTTCAATAATGTGTGAACCAGTGGGGGAGGGCTGCTGTTATTATCCAGTTATGTTACTAGACTAGCCTACTTGTGTGTCTTCCACTGTATCTTACATGACCACACAAGGCATTATTTGCAACAGCGCAGCGAATTGGGGACAAAACTCCCAGCGTCTTCAATGATCCAGAGCTCGATCACGTTTCGCTCACGTTTTCACATGGCCCGGAGACAGTTGGAGGAGGGACGCGCTGCTCGCCACTCATTGGCAGAAACACACGGAGGAATAGAAGCACAGAAAGAAGGGGGTACAAGGAAAGGGGGACACGGCTGATGTAAACACAGGCTGTAGACGGCATATGGCGGATGTTATTGATATGTTATAGACGCACTAACCTCTGGACGCAAACCTGACGACAGGACACCGACAACATCTGGTTAATGAAACATGTTTTATTAGCGATGATGAAAAACGTGATAAGAAATGAGTTCCCGAGACTTCTGCAAAGCAGCCACTGTCATTGAGCGTCTCCTTGCATGACCCATCAAGCTTCAAAACAGAAATGCCAAAAAACAAAAGGAATGTGTGCACTGTCACCATCTGAATCTCACGCAAAACAAAGGCTGTTTTATTCGTCTTAGTGGAAACATACCCATAGTCTATTGTAAAGGTACACGAAGTACAAGAGAGCCGTAAACAACCAGCTGTTCGTGTCAAAGCCACGTCAAAGGCAGCGGTGTTTACCTGAGGTTCTCCGCAGTGAATGCACGGTTCAGATCCGTGTCCACGTATCGGGTACATTTCTCCACAGCCTTTGGGTTCGTTATAAACGGTTTGGTCTCTACACCTTTCCTCTGGATCTCGTTGCTGTTCTTCATCCACAGGTTCACGAGAGTTACACCTGACATCTCGTTCCCGTGCGTCCCTCCAAAAACAGCCACTTTCGTGGCTGCGTTAAGACGCACGCTATTGTTGTTATAAGACGACATGGCTGGACATATACAGACCCCACAGAGTCTAAGGACACTGTGCACAAATGAGGGACACAAAGCACAGCAGAGGTAAACTTTCCACTCTGAGCTCACAGAACTGGCTCTGCTTACTGGCTGAGCGTGCGCTTACGTAATAACGCGCCTGTGGGGTTAAGAGCAGAGAGCGTGCGTAAAATGCACCGAGTTGAAACTAGTCAACGAGGCACCAATTGTACTCACAAAAATAGAGTATATGAATACTGTTGTTAGAACTAATGGCATTTGGCTGTAACAGTATCGAAACAAAACATTGACATTAAATTAAAATGGTTCTTTATATGAACAAGAATGCATCTAAACAGAATATCCACAGAATAGTAATAGTAAATTGTTGAGTGGTTACAAAGAAGTAAATAGTATGAGAACATAATTTGTATGTATACATTCTATTGCCCATTAAGGTTCCTAAAAGGAACATATAATTAATTTCCCATTTAGAAACATACAATTGGTAATATTTTTTGATTGATTAATGTAGTCAGGAGTCAGAGGGCTGGTCATACGACACATTGTATTTCTAAAAAAATTCAACACCAAATCGTTGAGCAAAAAAATGCTTTCATACAAAACAATATGTAGACCTAAAAATAGTTCACAAAATACAATTCTGATTTAACGTATATCAAAAAATGTCTCATTGGGATTATGCAGTCTTTTTTTGACCTTTGTCTGGCCGTTTTTCTCCAGTTTACATGAAGAGGGCGATATTTCAACATGTAATGGAGTGGAGACGGTTTGTTCATGGTCTTTAAAACATCTCTTATGCTTTTTTCTTTTCACTGTACTTTGCTCTAGCTCAGTCTCTTCTGAAGTCTCCACAACTATACTCTCACCATCACAAAGCTGTCTCTTTTTATCTCTCTTTTTTCTTTCTGGGCATTCAGATTCTTTTGTGCTTAGTATAGCACCCTCGTTTACTCCCTCAGCTGTTGTTTTTCCCATGCCAGTTTGACAGTGTTCACTTTGAGAGGTTTTCTTTTTCTTCTTCTTCTTCTTGAGACGATCACCTTCATCATTGGGAGGTTGGTTCACTTCAGTGTTGTCACAATCACTGCCTTTATTACATTCATTCATTTCTGGGTTTTCCATGACTTTAGCATTTGGGTCTAAATTGTTAAGTTCACCATTCCTATTCTTCTTTTTCTTCTTTTTTACTTTGTTACCCAATTCAGTCTCTTGTAAACATGTATAATTTTCTGCTGATTCAATATAATATGTGCTGATGTCAAGTCCGTCTGACCCATGACCCTCTCCAGACAGTGAAACACTTAGAGTAACATTTTCCACTCTTTCTGCCATAGGGTGAACCTTCCTTTTCTTTTTCTTTTTCACAGACTCATCACCTTGTATTAATAAGCAGTCTGTATCAGTATTGTCATTATTTACAAGTTCAGAATTTTTACCATACCTAACTAAATCAGATGAGCTCTTTTTGTCTGTGTTATGAAGTGGAGATTTTTTCAAAGGTAAATCCTCATCAGAGACTGCCTTTCGCTTATTTTTATGTCTTCTTTCGTTATCACTCATGTCTGACACAATTTTGTCCACTGCAATGATGTCATCTAAATTTCCATTATTCACAATTTGCATGGGATCTAAATAAGTCCCATTTTGTTCTTTTTCAGCAGATGAAACATGCTTTTTTTTCTTTTTCTTTTTCCTAATAGACACTGGTTCATCATCTTGTATTGCTAAGCGGTCTGCATCAATATCATCATTGTTTACAAGCATGGAAATTTCTTGACTCTCAACTAATCCAGATGAGGTGGTAAGTTGGAATTCTTTTAGAGCAAATTCATCATCACAATCACGGGCTGCCTTTCGCTTCTTTTTAAGTTTTCTTTTGCGATCACTCATATTAGACACCGTTTTGTCCACTATAGTGTTATTATGTGATTCTCCAATATTCTCTATTTGCAGTGGATCTAAATAAGTCCCATTTTGTTCCTTATTATTTTCCACATCACCGTTTTTCTTTTTATGTTTTTTCTTTTTGCGTACAGTACCATCACTCTTATTTTGAATATCACCAATTTTACAACACAGCAGTTCAGTATCTTCAGGCAGACTTTGTCCTGGTACTTCTTTTTCTAGACTATTCCCTGTTTGCAATGATTCTAAATTAGTCACATTTTGTTCTGTTTCTTCATTTGCCACATCACCTTTTTTCTTTTTATGTTTTTTCTTCTTGCATACAGTACCATCACCATTATCTTCAAGATCAACATTTGGACAAGACAGCAGTTCAGCATCTTCACGCAGATTTTGTCCTTTTACTTCTTTTAGATTACTCACTATTTGTTGTGGATGTAAATTAGTCAAATTTTGATCAATTTCCTCATTTTCCACATCACCTTTTTTCTTTTTATGTTTTTTCTTCTTGCGTACAGCACCATCACCATTATCTTGAACGTCAACAATTGGACAAGACAGCAGTTCAGCATCTTCAGGCAGACTTTGTCCTTTTAATTCTTCTAGATTACTCACTATTTGTTGTGGATGTAAATTTGTAAAATTTTGTTCCATTTCCTCATTTTCCACATCACCTTTTTTCTTTTTATGTTTTTTCTTCTTGTGTACAGTACCATCACCATTATCTTCAAGATCAACATTTGGACAAGACAGTCGTTCAGCATCTTCAGGCAGACTTTGTCCTGATACTTCTTTTTCTTGTTCTTGATTATTCCCTAAATTTGTCCCACTTTGTTCAGTTTTTTCATTGTCCACATCAGGCAGACTTTGTCCTTTTACTTCTTCTAAATTATTCACCATTTGCAATGAATCTGAATAAGTCCAATTTTGTTCTTTATCATTTTCCACATCACATTTTTTGTTTTTATGTACAGCATCTTCAAGCAGACTTTGTTCTGTTACCTCTTTTTCAAGATTACTCTCAATTTGCATTGGATCTAAATTAGTTCTATATAGTTCTTTTTCAGCATTTTCCATATCATCTTTTTTCTTCTGTACAGTTCCATCACCATGATTATTATCATTTGTACAAAGTAGCAGCTCAGCATCTTTAGGCACATTTTGTCCTTTTACTTGATTTTCTTGATTGTAACTTGCAGGCATAAGTTCTGTCAATGAAGAAGCTTCCAAGTCACTTTCCACATCATTAAGCTTTTCTGCAGTATCTCCATTATTCTCAGTTATTAAGTCATTGCTGTTAGATTTCTTTGGGGTATTAGCTTTGTGCCGGTGAGGTGACTGATAACTTGTAATGTAATCTTCAAAAAGATCAACACTCTCTTGGCTAAACGATGTATTCAGTGTTTCATTTTCATCTTCCAGTCTTTTATCTCCTTGTTTTGTCTTACTGCTCAACAGCTCTTTCACATCATAAATATTGTCAAAATGTCTCCCTCTAATGTCCAATGGATTATTTTGCAGAATGCTTTGGCTTTCAATGTCTGATTCATCTAATGGGCACAACACATCGCTATGGTCTGTAACTTGGTTTACTTGAGTTAAATTTACTGTATCATTGTGTGCATCATTTGCTGGGCTTCTTGGTTTGATGGATTCATCAATGAATGTTTCATCACTGTCACTGCTGCTGTCCAGAACTGTATATACTTCCTTTGGCAAACCTTCAGGCATTTTAGATGCGGACTGTGACATCTTTTCTGTCCCAAAATGTTGCTGTGAGATGGTTGGTTTTGTAGTTTCAGCAATTTTATTTCTCAAAGATTTAAACCAAGGCTGTGAACTCTTGGTTATCTTGGGTTTAATTGAGTATACAAACAGCCTCTTATCCTAAAAAAAAACAAACATGTAAGCAAATTTTACATTTTTATATTAACCAGATTTATTGTAACGGTTAATGGACTACTTACAATTATTTTGACATCCTCTTCACCTGACTGATCATCTCTGAAATATAGCATGTTTATTAGATTTACGCTTATTATCTTAAATCCAAATTTGTTTCCTTTTGTTTACTTAATTTACTTACTCCATTATTGGTGTTATTTGTTCATTGTCTGCATCAACTGTTGGTAATATTGATTCAAAAGATTCTCTTCTTTGACCACTTGGCCACATCTCACCAACACAACTAAAAAATCCTGCCATACCTGTATACTGTATGAAAAATAAAGCAATTACACAACAGTCATAGGTCTGTAGTCAACATTTAGTCAACATTATAAGTGCTCTTACATGGAGGGTGCGGTTTCTGGCTGTGGACAGAGATCTGTCTTCAGGCAACTGTGACTTCTTTTGGTTAAGAAAAGGAAAGTTGTATTTAAGGAGCAGTGGGTGCCTTTTTCTTCTCCTAGGGCCACCTTCATCTTCACTACTAGATGATGACCCAGCCTCAAAAAATCTGGGGGATATTGGCTTGGATCTTTGACTGAGACGAGGTGATCGTGCAGCATTAGGTATTATGTTCTGTGGTATCTGGGTGAGGAAAACACTGTCTCCAGAATCACTATAAAACAACATAAGTCACATGATGTTAAAAAGACATCACAATAGGACAGCTACAAGTAAGATAAAGTTTAAGGCTTTATTTACTACACGGCTTTCACTTCAGCAAATGATCAGACTACACAAGTTAATGTTTTTAAAATATCACAACAAAGCAACAGGTGAGCACTACATTTGAGTTAGGTATAAGAGCCTAATACAGATAAAAGTCTAGTACAGGTAAGGCTTCAACTACGTACCTTTCTTCACCTTCAACAGGTCCAATTCCCATTTCATTTATAATACTGCTGTCCATAAACGCGATTTGTTATTGTTCTTCACGTCAGCAAATGTTTTCTTGACCTATTACCCCCAAAACTACATGGGTGACTTAAGCATGATACTATTATTAGGTATCTCACTGGTTGAGATATTCTCAACCGTGCAGTTAAAAACTTCCCCACGACAGTCCGAAACACTTGCAAACATTTATCTTAAACTACAATTTATAAGTTTTCTTTGCTGGGCATAAAATAGCATAGGCTACAGAAAAATAACTGCACATGTGAACCTTTCGCGTATACAGGAAGTGAATGGACGTCACGCATGGCCATGTGACCAACAAACAAAGAGAAAAGTGGGTACTAAATTGGTAGTGATACACGTATCACGTCTTCGCTTTTTTATACACTCCCGGGAAAAAAAAAGAAGATATTTTACATTTTCGGGTTCTGTCTAGGTCACATGTAATATTGTCACATAATTATATAGAGGATCTAACGAAATTTCAGTCACAACTCAGTCAAGCGCGTATGCTATGCTAAGTGAAAGAGGCATTTACTATCTTGATCACGTTTAGTCTTTTGGTATTATCTTTGTTCTAGATTCATGTGATTCGTGCGTGGATCTGTGCCATAGACTGTGCTCTGCAGACTGTACATTGGCATTATCGAAGTGTTCCTGCGCAGTTCACTCGCCCTTTTTTTTTTGTAAAAACATACGCTGCAGAGATCTATGGCAAATATGAGTGCCACTGAGAAAATTCAGCTGCACGTACCATCTTTAGAAGAACTTAGTGCTGGTAAGAATTGAATTTATATCTTTGCTTAATCCAGATTCCCACTGCTCTACTTGGCCGTGAAGTAATTCAGTGTTTTATTGATCTTTACAGTGTTGCAAACAGGACTGCAAGCTAACTTTGCCGAAGTTAAAGTCAGTGTGGTTGCATGTCCAGATCTGACCAGGGAGCCCTTTCTGTTTCCTGCCCAGGGTACCCCTCTATCAAGCCCAAATTATCAATTACTATTAATTTAGGATAGCCTGTCCTCTAACAAGCAGTTATGGTTGGCAATATATGACACGTATGCAACTGGTAGATTTATGTCTTGTATTAATATGTGTGTCTTCCTTCAGGTTTATGTGGAAATCCTCGCATCACAGATGTTGGTGGTGTGCCTTACCTGGTCCCTGTAGCTAAAAAGGAAAAGGTTTGTTTCCCGAGACAAAGTCAGTTAAAGTATTCATGTTTGTAAGTAAAGTATTATATAATTTATATATACGTGTTGTTACAGGAATATGACATGAACGTTATTTCAAAAGAAGTGGAGCTCCCTGGAGGATTTTTTCTTGGTGCAGGGGCTGTTGCTTCCAGAGTAGTTGGAATAAATGCTGAGGTAAAAATAATTAACTAATGTTTTGTCTATTAACAAACAGCTAAAACTTTCTTTTCTTGTACTTGTTTATTCTTGTAAGGCAACCTTGAGCATCTGAAAAGGCGCCCAATAAACACATTGTATTTTTATTATCATTACATTTATTGTATCCCTCCACAGTTTATGCCAATTGTTCTGACCGAGGCAGAGGGGAGACCCGCAGTTAATGGCAGCTACTTCTCTTGTATCAATCCAGTTGATGGCCAGTGCCTTCAGGAAAAGTATAGCGACAAATTCTCTGACTGCCACTTTGGTCTAATGGCAAACCTGTATGCTTGTGAGGGGAAACCTGGGAAGGTAAATATTATTTGATGTAAACAACTTTTTTTCTGAGACTGGAAAATGCAAGTCAGTATTAGCTGTGACTAGTTGTGTAGTTGGTTACATATAAACTACCAAATAATCATGCCATAGCTGAACTTTAAACCATAGGAATAATAAACATTAACAAAGAAAATACAGATGTATAGGTGACTTAGCTCTTGTCTCACCTTACAGGTCATAGAGGTTCTGGCCAAGAAGAGAACAGGAGATCAAAGCCTTGTGACTGCATTAAGAAAGGCTCTTGAAAACCACTATCCTGACAAAAGCCTGGCTCTTGGAGGAACGTTTGTCATACAAAAAGGGAAAGCTAAAATCCACATTATGGTAATTACTAATCGATAGTGTTATAATAACCTAACTCTTTACAGCCATCATAAACATATTGTTTAAGAATGATTCATAGTAACTACTTAATTAAGGGGTTAGGATTAAGAGGTAAGGTTAGGATATTAATTAATTAGTTACAAAGCCTGAATCTTTCTTAATACATTTGTTCATTATGAATTAAGTCTTTCAACATGCTTTATTGTGGCTTATTAGAGTGTAGTTTTTATAAAGTGTTACCATAACTGTAACAAAAAAATAAGAAGATCCTACTGTCTATATTTCTGTGTGTAGCCAAGAGAATTCTCAGCCTGCCCACTCAACACTAATGATGAGGTCAACAACTGGCTTAAGCACTTTGAAGTCTGTGCTCCTCTCATCTGCCAGTCAGTGCTTGTGTCCAAAGACCCAGTAAGTAAAGAAACATCTGATACATCTCCTATGAATGCAGCTTACCTTGCCATATTGATTATTGCATTGTAAGAGACTGTTGACTGTGCTTGCAGGGTTTAGACCTAAGAATTGAGCATACTCACATCTTCAGCCATCACGGAGAAGGAGGGCACTACTACATTGACACCACCCCAGATATTGTGGAGTATGTGGGCTACTTCATGCCTGCAGAATATGTGTACCGCATTGACAGGCCGAAGGAGACGCATGCAGTCGGACGCGATTAAGCTAACAAATAATACTTAAAATTCATTACCTAATCAGTATATGCAATACCTGTATAATAACGAATGCCAGAGACAGAGTCATTTTGGTCACTATTGGCTGAACTATATCTTGAATGAATATAAATAATTTGTCTTACATTTCATCAGTTACCTGTTCTACACTTGCACTGTGTTTGATTATCACAATCAGAACATAACACATAGCCAAATGAAGTATTTAGATTTTTGATACAAGATACAGTGATTTTGAAATAAATATGTAAATATATTCTCGCAAAGGATGGAGTATATGTTTTTTATTTATCCACACACAAATATGAAATGAGGCAGGCTGATATTTTAAGTCTTAACAGTACGGTGTCTGTTTCTTTCTTTTTTGTGTATGTTTTCATGTACAATTAGTGCATATTTACAGCTAATTATTTTTTCTTTCCAAACAGGAGAAGGTAGAACATAAATAAGACATAAGCAATTAAGATAGATGAAAGGTCTAGTATTGTTTATACTTAAAGCTGCACCATGTGATCTTTCCGGTGGGGGGCATCAGCCACCATGGAGATGCTATTGCTTTCCCACTGGGTAGTATTAAAGCTTTCTAATACGACGTTATTCAATTATGGATTTTAATTGGTAACTATGAGTGGGGTCTGACCTGTAACTAGAATTGGTGACTTATTTCCATACAGATAGTGCGCTTTAAATGCTGTTTTTAGTAGTAGATTTTCATTTATGTTTAATTAAATCTTTAAGTTGAATATACAATTTATCTGTGCTCATTAATCCACTTTTTTTTTTGCGTTTTTCTGATCACAGCAAGCCACACTACAACCAAACTGCGCCCTCTTGTGCCTACATCCTCCTTCACACACCATTTCCCACAATGCTACTGCCGCACTGTTCCGGAAGTAAGGCGTTTATTGACAATATGGCCGCGGAGCTGGGTTTGGATTCAGAGAAAAATCATATTTGACAGCACTGACGGGGCTGAAGTACCAACCCGTGATCGGACCTGGAGTTTGGAGGACAGATGCAGTTGAATGAAGGGTCCGGTGGTTTTACGGCATGTTATCACTGAGCTGAGAAAAAGTCCCGAGTCTGAGCGCCTTCCGTCATGTCGTTTTTCAAGAGGAAAGGTAAGGCATCTCTATGGGAGAAAGCTGCAACGTCAACGGCGGATCTGTCCTTAGATGTAAATAAAACCCCCCAGATTGCAGCAGACTCAATAAGGGCACTGTAATGTTTATGTTAACTCTGCCTTTGCTGCCAGTGCTACTGCTACGAGACTGTTAGCTTAGCCCTGGCCTTGCAGTTCTCACATCTCACCTACTTGCAGAGATATTAAAATACAGACATTGGCTCCGCTTAAATAGCAAATCAAGAAGCCAATTTTAAGTCTGTTGAATTTGTTATAGCCTGGTATATTCTTATAGCTTATATATGGAGATGCTACTTTGTCTTTCTTAACTTGAATGAATGAATCTGCATCAGAGCTAGCAGAAGAAACTGTGATTTAGTTTGCTGCATCTAAACACGTAGCTCTGTTTTTTATCCTATTATATTACACTGATCTAAAAGGTTTATTCAGGATCAAACTGTGAAAGTGGCTTCAGTAGGGTGACCAAATCAAGACATTTTGAGTGAACGTTCTTTCATTGTTGTTATATGTTGAAAGGCACCTACTGCTATTCCAATGTCTCTGTGTGACAAAAATCCTATGGTGTCATCGCATTGATTACATTTGAGCTTAAATGTCACTCTATGTCTCACCGCACTGAAGAACTAGTCCATCTTTTTCTGCTATTTGAGTTGGTCACCTTAGGTACAAGAGTCACAGGGAGTATCCCCCATCAGCACAGTAAAAGAATTTACTCTTGGAGGCAATAGAGAGTAACGTGTGGCCTTCCTTTGTAGAGCTTGTGTTTGAAGCAGCTGACACAGCAGGACTCCCATATGAGGAAACACAGCTTCAGTCCAGCTCACTCATCTATAGGGACACTCACGACTGACAGGAAACTTGTGCATTCTTGTGCAGATAGGATCAGATTTCTACTCAAAAGGCAGGATTTTTATGTTTTTGCAATATGATAAAGTTAGTATGTCATGTTTGGAATTTTCCATTTCCATAGATGTGAGCAGTTTCTGTACAGCCACAACTAACAATTATTTTTGCAGTTGACTAGTCAGCAGTTATTTTTTGATTATTCAACTAGTAACATAATAATTTCTATTGTACATTATGATTTTCACACCTCAAGATAGAGAATATTTACAATTAAGATATAATATGAAAATAAAAACTTATCTTAACTTGTCATTTTTATTTAATAATGGTATAAGCCTTGTTATTAAAGGTCTTTTGGCATATGCTTTAGAGTCTATATAGTCCAGATAATGATGACGGTTATTAAAACTATTACAACTCATTATTGTCCTGATAATCATTGCAGTTCTATGTTTCCTCAATTACATCAAATTATAAATATATTAAGACATCTGTAACTTGCAGATGTGACAGCATAAACACAGATGTATTGTAAATTATGTTGGCATTCCCAAGTACAATAGTATCTATGTCCTGATGATGTCAGTACGTAACTGTATAGGGATTCTATTTCTGGCCCCCTCCTTACCTTTTTAAACAGCTACTTTCTCCATCCTCTCCATCCGTCCCTCCCTTTATTGTATGTTGTGATTCATACTGCCATTCTTCTTTTTTTTACAATAGTGCTCTCATCTTTCTTTTCAGCCAAAACCAAAGAACCAGAGAAAGTGATAGATGCTAAAGTGAACCGAGGTGAGCGTTCCCCTATTATCTTGCTATCTTTTTACTTATTTAGAATTTATTATTACCATTTATATTTTTTGCTATTTGTTATTATAATATATTGTGACCCGTGAGCTACTGGGTCCAAGTAATTTCCCTTGTGGATCAGTGAAGTTTGTTTAAGTCTAAGTCTGCTCTAACTTCATATAGATAATAATTGTGTTCATTACTTTTAGTGAGTTGGTGAATAACGCACTCATTTTGTCACATGATCTCAAATTATGACCTCAAGCTACTAAAAAAACATGAACAGGGCATAGTCAAATAAACGTAGAAGACTGCCTTTCTCTCACCCTGAGGCGTCTACTCACTGTGAGCTCTTTCAAAATCTGCACTCAAAAGAGCTTTTCATATCAGTCACTCTCTGGGCAACAAGACCATGGCAGGATTCCAGTCTTTTTGCTGTCTTAAATAGTTAATAATTAGTGGAAACAATATGGCCACAATATATGGTTAGTTTTCTGTACAACAAGTCTCTTTCAAATCAATATTTTAAATCAAAACTGAATTATTATAACAATAGTAATTTTGTAAATTCTGTAAAAATACATTCAAGCGCTAAGTAGGAGTACATGGACACTCATGGTGATTTCAGTATATTGTATATTCTTAAGAATTTTTTTTCATAGGAAAAGTGTTGCCGTCAGTAACATAATAATATATTAGAAATCACTGATATAACAACATTTATTTGTCTAAATATTCAAAATGTGGGACAAAGCTTGAGACAAAAACATTTTGGAAACCACTGCTCTAGTAAAATATACCTTAAATTTTAGTAACTATTATACTACTAATAAATATTACGAACATCAAAGATCAAAAAGAAATGTCAGTGTTTTCATGTCATATAACCGTAATATCTTTATTTGTCTCCATTTGCCTGTCTGTAGCACCCGTCAGCCCACAATCTCCTTCTCTGAAGAACCACAATGCCCTCCACGACGTGGCGGGGCCCAGCCCTGTGGCCATCAACGCCATCTCCGCAAACATGGACTCGTTTGCCCGGGGACGCACCGCTACCCTCAAGAAACAGCCCAGCCACATGGAGGCAGCACACTTTGGAGATCTAGGTATATGGCTACATTTTTAAAATCAAAGTGCTGCATTTTGTCTCCTTAGAATTACAAGATTATATTTGATATCTTGTTGAAAATTTTGCTATTCGTATGAATACTGTGAATACCTCCCGTGCGCTTCATGATTTAATTCCATCATGCTTTATGAGATTCAGAACTTTTGCTATTGGACAAAAGATACATTATGAGTATGAACTACCAAAGAATTTGTGAATTTGTAAGAGTAAGTTACATATTGAAATATCTTCTACTTCCTCCTTTCACGGTTTGAAAATCAGGCACCCTGTCTTTAAGTTGTAACAGTTTAAGTCAGTTCCCCTTCCCTACTCCAAATTATTTTTCTGTCATTAGTGTTTCAGCATTTGCAGGGCCTCAGTGTATGTTTCCATATTCAAATTTTATATTGCTGCTTAATAATACATCAATAGGATATCAAACTAGTCACTATCTAGGGTTTACTCCTTGTAAGGCCTACAGTTTCGTGGACAGACTCCAATCACCTATGTCAGTAGGAGAAAAATGAAAGGGATCAGAAAATTCACCAAAATACCTGAACAATATAAAGGAGCTATTCCTGGATTTCAGTTTCCTGTAATATGGTGCTGTTTTGAGGATGGTTGGCCATTCAAAAGATATATTATTTTGCTTTAAATAGCTAATTGTTATTTCAAAATTTCATCTGAAACCCATGGATAATATGTCATGTTTTATTATTCCAATGACATGGTAATGAAATGTTGCATTGTGTAACGTTTCTGGTGGAGGCTCTGTCACCTGCTTGTTTCTATGGCTATGTTAACAGGCATAAACAGGCATAGCAAAGCAATAACATCTCTGTGGAGAAAAGCATTTGTTGAACCCTCCACCAGAAAAGTTGCACAATGCACCTTTAAATGATGAAAACTTGTGGGTTTTGCTGTTAATGATTGTGGTTTTGCGGAGAATCTTTCCCAGAGGTCTTGCATCACAGCTGTCTACCACATGTCTTGTGCTAGTGGCAAACAGGCTTTAATTAATCCTGAGGTGCTTGGAGTGCTCGCTTGCAGCTCATCAAACATTTAGCTGAAGAATGTTCACACACAAAGTCAATGGAAAAGCTTTCTATGTTCATCCGCACTGCACTATAATTAGTTCTCAAACACAAACAA